TACCCATTCTGGTCCCCAGCCAACCCGTTACTAGAACTTGCCATTCCTCTCTCCCACCCTTGAATGAAGGTTGGGCGAGTGACTTTATCTGATCAAGATGTGATAGTGTATAAGAAAGGTGATGATTTATATCCCTGTTACCACTGTTCCACAATTTCCATAAATCCTGTACAGAGTATGTCATGTAAATTAAGTTTGATTACCCTATTTATATGCACATACCATCTTTGTATCTGAAGTTTTGAATATTGGCTATGTATCTGAATCGCAAACCTGTGTGGTTTTCCTGGGTGACACCCCACAGACTTACATCAGGGCTGATAGCTATATGTTGATGGTCTGTTGAGGACACTCAGCTCTCACAATGAGCCACTGAAGAATCTCATCCTGCCCGGTTGGTCTTCCTGCAGATGCTTCAGATAGCAAGGAGCCAATGGCTACCCCATGATTCAGCAAAACATGAGCCTATTACATACCTCTTCATGTGACTCTGGTCTCCATTTTGGGCCAGTAACTTTCCATACACAGGCTGTGGGCTTTGTTTAGGACAGTAAATTTCTATGCACATGGCAAAGGATATAAAAGACACCTGAGATGGCTCCATTTTTCCTCTTTCCTGCTCTAATTCTTCAGACTGTGGATATACAACTAAAAAGAGTGTCTTGAACTAAGGACTGAGGACCTTCCAATCTTTTGGAAGTTATCAGACTTTTGCAAGCCAGCAGTCTTTTCCATCACTGCTACAAACCTGATATGAGGACTTTGCTATCATTGTATGTATCTGTTAACCATTTATAACAGTCTTTTTTATTATCATAGAATCATAGAATATAAGGGTTGGAAGGGACCCCAGAAGGTCATCTAGTCCAACCCCCTGCTCGAAGCAGGACCAAATCCCAGTTAAATCATCCCAGCCAGGGCTTTGTCAAGCCTGACCTTAAAAACCTCTAAGGGAGGAGATTCTACCACCTCCCTAGGCAACACATTCCAGTGTTTCACCACCCTCTTAGTGAAAAAGTTTTTCCTAATATCCAATCTAAACCTCCCCCACTGCAACTTGAGACCATTACTCCTCGTTCTGTCATCTGCTACCATTGAGAACAGTCTAGAGCCATCCTCTTTGGAACCCCCTTTCAGGTAGTTGAAAGCAGCTATCAAATCCCCCCTCATTCTTCTCTTCCGCAGGCTAAACAATCCCAGCTCCCTCAGCCTCTCCTCATAACTCATGTGTTCCAGACCCCTAATCATTTTTGTTGCCCTTCGCTGGACTCTCTCCAATTTATCCACATCCTTCTCGAAGTGTGGGGCCCAAAACTGGACACAGTACTCCAGATGAGGCCTCACCAATGTCTAATAGAGGGGAACGATCACGTCCCTCGATCTGCTCGCTATGCCCCTACTTATACATCCCAAAATGCCATTGGCCTTCTTGGCAACAAGGGCACACTGCTGACTCATATCCAGCTTCTCGTCCACTGTCACCCCTAGGTCCTTTTCCGCAGAACTGCTGCCTAGCCATTCAGTCCCTAGTCTGTAGCTGTGCATTGGGTTCTTCCATCCTTATTGAACCTCATCAGATTTCTTTTGGCCCAATCCTCCAATTTGTCTAGGTCCTTCTGTATCCTATCCCTCCCCTCCAGCGTATCTACCACTCCTCCCAGTTTAGTATCATCCGCAAATTTGCTGAGAGTGCAATCCACACCATCCTCCAGATCATTTATGAAGATATTGAACAAAACCGGCCCCAGGACCGACCCTTGGGGCACTCCACTTGATACCGGCTGCCAACTAGACATGGAACCATTGATAACTACCCGTTGAGCCCGACAATCTAGCCAGCTTTCTACCCACCTTGTAGTGCATTCTTCCAGCCCATACTTCCTTAACTTGCTGACAAGAATACTGTGGGAGACCATGTCAAAAGCTTTGCTAAAGTCAAGAAACAATACATCCACTGCTTTCCCTTCATCCACAGAACCAGTAATCTCATCATAAAAGGCGATTAGATTAGTCAGGCATGACCTTTCCTTGGTGAATCCATGCTGGCTGTTCCTGATCACTTTCCTCTCATGCAAGTGCTTCAGGATTGATTCTTTGAGGACCTGCTCCATGATTTTTCCAGGGACTGAGGTGAGGCTGACTGGCCTGTAGTTCCCAGGATCCTCCTTCTTCCCTTTTTTAAAGATTGGCACTACATTAGCCTTGTCAAGGTTCCTCCCCCACTCTGAACTCTAGGGTACAGATGTGGGGACCTGCATGAAAAAAACCCCTAAGCTTATCTTTACCAGCTTAGGTCAAAACTTCCCCAAGGTACAAAATATTACACCCGTTATCCTTGGAATGGCCGCTACCACCACCAAACTAATACTGGTTACTGGGGAAGAGCTGTTTGGACGCGTCTTTCCCCCCAAAATACTTCCCAAAACCTTGCACCCCACTTCCTGGACAAGGTTTGGTAAAAAGCCTCACCAATTTGCCTAGGTGACTACAGACCCAGACCCTTGGATCTTAAGAACAATGAACAATCCTCCCAACACTTGCACCCCCCTTTCCTGGGAAATGTTGGATAAAAAGCCTCACCAATTTGCATAGGTGACCACAGACCCAAACCCTTGGATCTGAGAACAATGAAAAAGCATTCAGTTTTTACAAGAAGACTTTTAATAAAAAATAGAAGTAAATAGAAATAAAGAAATCCCCCCTGTAAAATCAGGATGGTAGATATCTTACAGGGTAATTAGATTCAAAAACATAGAGAACCCCTCTAGGCAAAACCTTAAGTTACAAAAAAGATGCACAGACAGAAATAGTTATTCTATTCAGCACAATGCTTTTCTCAGCCATTTAAAGGAATCATAATCTAACACATACCTAGCTAGATTACTTACTAAAAGTTCTAAGACTCCATTCCTGTTCTGTCTCTGGCAAGAGCAGCATACAGACAGACACAGACCCCTTTGTTTCTCTCCCTCCTCCCAGCTTTTGAAAGTATCTTGTCTCCTCATTGGTCATTTTGGTCAGGTGCCAGCGAGGTTACCTTTAGCTTCTTAACCCTTTACAGGTGAGAGGAGCTTTCCCCTGGCCAGGAGGGATTTCAAAGGGGTTTACCCTTCCCTTTATATTTATGACAAGCCTTTTTCCAGTCATCCGGGACTTCCCCCGTTCGCCACAAGTTTTCAAAGATAATGGCCAATGGCTCTGCAATCACAGCCGCCAATTCCTTCAGCACTCTCGGATGCAACTCGTCCGGCCCCATGGACTTGTGCACGTCCAGCTTTTCTAAATAGTCCCTAACCACCTCTATCTCCACAGAGGGCTGGCCATCTCTTCCCTATTTTGCGATGCCCAGCGCAGCAGTCTGGGAGCTGACCTTGTTAGTGAAAACAGAGGCAAAAAAAGCACTGAGTACATTAGCTTTTTCCACATCCTCTGTCACTAGGTTGCCTCCCTCATTCAGTAAGGGGCCCACACTTTCCTTGGCTTTCTTCTTGTTGCCAATATACCTGAAGAAACCCTTCTTGTTACTCTTGACATCTCTGGCTAGCTGCAGCTCCAGGTGCGATTTGGCCCTCCTGATATCATTCCTACATGCCCGAGCAATATTTTTATACTCTTCCCTGGTCATATGTCCAATCTTCCACTTCTTGTAAGCCTCTTTTTTATGTTTAAGATCCGCTAGGATTTCACCATTAAGCCAAGCTGGTCGCCTGCCATATTTACTATTCTTTTGACTCATCGGGATGGTTTGTCCCTGTAACCTCAACAGGGATTCCTTGAAATACAGCCTGCTCTCCTGGACTCCTTTCCCCTTCAATTTAGTCCCCCGGGGGATCCTGCCCATCCGTTCCCTGAGGGAGTCGAAGTCTGCTTTCCTGAAGTCCAGAGTTCGTATCCTGCTGCTTACCTTTCTTCCCTTTAATTAATAAATCTTTAGTTAGTTTTAGGAAGGATTGGCTGACAGCATGGCATTTGGGTAAGATCTGAGAAACATATTGACCTGGGGAAAGTGTCTGATTCATTGGGATTAGTAAGAATCTAACATATACTGAATCAGGTTTTCAATAACCTCTCACTATGTTAGACCTGTTTGTCTGGATGGGAGTCATGAGCTGGAATGCCTAAAGGACTGGGTTTTTTTTGCTTCTGATTAACCAGTGCAGTACTGCAGAAGTTCTTTTGGTTCTGGCTTGGTGAATCTAATTATAGAATAAACCATCAGTTTTGGGGAATTGTCTGCCCTGAGTGTGGCATTCTCAATGTAGTCCATCCCAGGCACCCGGTATCAACGTATCCATTCTCTGCAAAGTACCTGCACTGGCCTGCTGCTCCAACCTTACATAAAGAGTTGCAACCTCATAGCCTAATCCTCCTTTTTTTGTTTTATTAAATTAAAATTAATTAAAATTTTTAAAAAATCCTGGTTTATTTTCACTGACATAAATAGATGAATTAGAATGTCTGGTTCAAATTTATGACTCAGTAGAAATTTCCTAATTAGGGGGATTTTTGTATTTTTCATACAGTCTCAATACATCATTAAAAGAATTGTTCCCCTGTTTACTAATGACTCATTTTAGTCCTTCTAGTGTCTGCAGAATCCTATGTTTTGTTACTTGAAGATTGCTAGTGGCTTACATTAAAAAGGAAGTGTCTTTTTATCACTATAATATCCGTTCAAAACAGTGTTGCATTACAGAAGTAGAAAAAACGTTGCAGCCCATCAAAGGCCAATATAATAAGAGAAATGATTCTTTTTAAAATATAAATTAGTGTAGTAGGGCAAAATTATTCCTTGAGACGCGTGTAGACTTCAAGGACTATGGATCAGGTCTTTAGATCCACTTGCTGGGGTCACATTTAGGAATTCTGTTTTCCTTACAAACACAAATAACCTATATTTCTCAAAGGGACATTCTGTGTATGCAGGGAGAGCAGAATATTGGAGTCAAGATCTTCTGTGTGGATCAAACAGAATTGATATCTGAAAACATTGAGCAGTATCCTGAAAAAAGTTAGCTTTATTTTGTTTTTGAACAAAATATCTACAATCACATGAATACCATAAACTGCACATGTTCTAACACCTCTGTCTGCAGAGAATGTTAGCTGTAGTGCTGAATATAAGGTATTTATAATACAAAGGAATTTAATTAAATTCATGCATGTCACTTCTTTATAGAACTTTACGAAAAAGAAATACTTCTAAATGAAAACTGCCATTGTCTTTTTTGTAGACAGAATTCACAGGAAGATATGTTTAAAAATTGACAAGTAATTAATACACTCATATTAATATATATTGATTTAGCCTCTTAAAAAGGCTTTGATCACTATCACACAAGCTACTGTATATAATATTTTATGTTGAAAGCTTATGGCACAATTTCTTCATATACAGCTCACAATTACATATCCATGGAATGTCAATATTTACTTTAGTCCATTTAACTATTAAATTCATTCTATCATACATTTTAAAATACAAATGTAAGAAATGTCTCTTGCATATTTCACAAAGATGAAAGTGAAGAGTGCAATAATATTCAAGCATATTAAGAATGCAGGATGAGCTGACATTCTCTTCTAACATTACACTTACTGCTTCTAGCAATCTAACCTGCTTTCACAAGCCTGCCAAACTGATAATATTTCAGGAACTACTGTATGTAACGCGTTGCCTGAAGGCACCATTTCTATAACTATTGCAAAAATGAAAAATCTACTTCTTGTTAACAAGCCGTTTAATTTGTGATTTTTTTTAAAATATATTTTTCATCTTAGCCTTTTAAAAAATGTTACACTTGTCTGACATAATTATCTTTATAAATCATGTGGCATCTTGTACAGTAAGATGTAGATAAAAATACTTTGCTAATTTACAGGGGTATTGTAAGAATTCATTAGCTTGTTCAGCAGTTTAGGGGTATAAGGCCAAATTCTGCTCTGTTAGATCAGATTAACTCCTACGATAGTCTACATAAGAGCAGAATTTACACATAAAGGGCCAATAAGTGCTAAATGTAAATACTGAGTGCATCACTTTCTTGTATCCAACAAGTTTAATTGGGCTTGGTTATCATATGAACTCATTTTCATCGACTACAAAATTATTGCTAGAAAGAATACATTTGAATCCTTCTAGGGTTAAGGAAGACTTTATCTTTCGCTGTTCTGAACTGTGTATGAGTTTTACTCTTTTAATCTTGGTTTCAACTACATTATCGAACAGTAGTTCTGGAATTTACCATGGTACAAAGTGGAAGCATTTCTTCATTCCTGCAGTCTAAAGTGCATATCTGAATTGCTTAAACAGAAGCATATCTAGGGTTTTAAACTGGACTTCTCTTAAAGCAGCCTACAAGAAAGGTGCTGCAAAAATTACAAAAGAGAGAAGCAGAGAGCTAAGAGATGGCAAACATGTCAGAAAATTCAGAGAGAGACCATATACGGCTGATCTAGCACAAAAGAGAAAAACAAAGTTGTTTGACTTCCACCAACACATTTAAAAAACTGGTGTCTGCTGTCAAGGTTCCTTGAAGCTACAATATGGTGATAGTAATGAGTTAGTTTAAATCTGCCCTTGAATAGGTAACATAAATAAAAAGGACTCTATTTTCTTCTTTTGCCCCCCATCTTAGAAACATCAGGAAACTATGAACACTAATGTTTTCTTATTGGAAGTAACTATTAAAACCAACATGAGATTTGCTTTGTTTAGGTTTCATTTGTGCCAGCATGTGGCACTTAAATTCCTCAGTGTAGCAGATTAGAATATGGTTAACTGAGTAAGGCCCCACATTTGTGATATTGCAGATCGTGCAATACTAGGCTTTCACTGCAATTTTGATTTTAATTAGCTTGGTTTGAACAGTCCACAATTTTGTGTACATTTTGAGTATGTAATTAGCACTGCTCTAACATTCAGTGCCTATAAAATGTAAAAGGCTAAAGTGACGACTTGATTTCTACAGCAGTTGTGTAAGACTTTGTCTTCTGAATTTTATATTGTACCAGTCACTTTTTTTAAAAAATGAATGTAATATAGTTACAGCAAAATGTCTGGTTATATATATTTAAAAAAATAGCTGCCATAATATAATACTTGAGTGTTTTATATTGTTCCAGCAATTTTTTCTCTTAAATACGTCTAATCTGGCTTTTCCAAATTACCACTAGCCATAGAGGTCCATTATTACTTTTCCACATCTTGTCCACAACTCAGTGGCAACTTTATTTTGAAGATCATCTTGTGATTCAGTTAGCACCTTAACTATGAGTTAGCTGCTTAAAAAATGAGGAGGCCTGTAGCTGTTTGAATACAATGATATACAGATTCATTTCCACTGAATGCATCCGATGAAGTGAGCTGTAGCTCTTGAAAGCTTATGCTCAAATAAATTTGTTAGTCTCTAAGGTGCCACAAGTACTCCTTTCCTTTTTGTGAATACAGACTAACACAGCTGCTACTCTGAAACAGATCTCCTGGTGCTTCCTCTCATTTTTTCTCAAGAATGGAGGGTTTTAACAGGTGTTGTTGTGGGCTGGAAACTCCAGTCTTCAACCCCCTGAAGAAAGCAAGTTCCAAGATTGTGCATCTCAGGGCAACCACCTAAGGAGCAAGGTCCTTCTGCTACGCTGTTTTCTGTCCTTCCCCACCCTTTGGCTTAGTGCTCCTGAGCCGCACAGCCATAGGCTCCTCTTCCTGCACTTCTGCCTTATCCCTCTTCCTCTGGGGTCTAAGCAGCCTAAACTCTCTTTACTTCTTCCTGGGAATCTGCCATTTAAAAGGTGAATATGTAGAATACAGCATCTATTTTAAGGTCAGTAGTTTGCCCCAACACACTGCACTCCAAATGCACGGAGGAGATCCTGTGCCACTGTGGAACATGAGGAGCGTGCTACGTGATCACGGCTTCCTTTTCCATTATGCCTCCATCAGCTCTATGAGAATGGATTTCTTTCTACCTGTGTAACTAGTCTTGCACATTGGGCCCCAAATTATTTCTCTAGTCTCAGTGCATTACTTTGGCCCTCTAACTTTAAGTTACATGGCACAACCACAAAAAGCAGGAGTACACAAGCTGGCTTGCAAACAGTGTGGAAGGGACAGGGCTTTACGTGGGCAAGAAGCCTGCTGTCCTTGAGTGGTTAACCAAAGGCCTCTTAGGTTAGCAGTCTTGGCACTCTGGAGGGCACAGGGACACGACAGCCAGTGCACTGGGGGCAGCAGATTAACATCTCTGGGGCAAGGAGAAGCTTTGCCTGAGGCATAACAACTAGGGCTGGTTGGGGAATTTTTCAATGAAACTTTTGTTTTGGCCTGAAAGTGCTGATTCATCAAAGCTGAAAGTTTTCATGGGAAAGGTTCAGTTTCTCAACTTGCAAAAAAAATCCAATTTTTTTTCTTGAAATATATCAAAATGAAACATTTAAACTTTTAGAAAGGAAAACTTCCAATTTCACCATTTGAAATGACTTTTTCATTCAGCTAATTATAGTTTTTAAATGGTCAAAATGGAAACAAAACATATTGAAATCATCAAAATATTTCAGCTGACCTGAACTGATTTTTTAAATTTATTTTACTGGGGGGGAAGGGGGTTGGTTCTTGAACACTTCTCAATATTTAACTTTTTCCTGTCCCAAATCAGAACATAATTTTGAAATCCATGAAAATTTTTGTGCATAGGAAAACAGTTTATCAGAACTCAGCAGGAACCTCCTCACTACTCTTCCTCTGACTCTGTACTGCCCCCTACCCACACCTGTGGCATACCTATCCCAATCTTTTCCTTAATATTTGAAGTTTTTTCCAACATTGGTTTGCCATGGGTGTAGGATAGGTGTGTTTTGCTGTTTTATCACCCCCTCTCTGTAGTCCTTCTCTGGCACTATATCAGTATAAAAAGAATCAGTTTTAAGACTAAGATCATCCTAGCTGATAAGCCCCTGGCTCTGAGAGATCGTTCTTGGATTTGTGTGGTTGGTTGACATGCCTGCTGGTATTTTGGACTCTTTTTCCATAGGCACTAATGGGTAGCTGGTATTATGTGACATGAGACAACTTAAAATCTTACTTGACAATTCTGTCATCTTACATGATTTTTTACATTCAATGGAATATGAATACTTTATTTAAAGTAGCCAGTCAGCAGTTTGCAGCTTAAACAGTGCCTTTTGCTGAAATAAATGTTTCTTAGCTGATTGAAAAGGCCTCTGTTACACAGGCAATTGTTACCATAAGGATGTCATAAAAAATGTAGAGTTGTCTTCCGGGGGGAGAAATCTTGACCCCGTTGACTTCAGTGGGGCAAGACTGCACTCCAAGTAGTTAACTAGAAAAAAGTCACAACTTGCTGGATGATTGTTTAGTAGTTACAAAATAAATCACTGTAGCTTGTCCCTTCTGTCTCAACCATTTCTGTTCTTAGTACCATTACTAAAGCAAAGACATTCCAGAAATATTCCAATAAGATTTCTCCTACTTTTAAAAATATAATATACAGAACTATAAATATATAAATTTAGAAATACTTTTCAATCTTCTGAAGAAGTATATACTCCCTTCAATACATGGCTGCCATTAGTATCAATGTAATACGCTGTCTGTTGTTACATATTAGATATACATCATTTTAATCCATTAGGGATGTCTCAAAAGCAATCATACTGAAGGTTCATGGGTTTACAATGTATATACAGTAGTTGCTAATGTGATTACCATACAATAGTTGCAGAAATAGTATGCTACATGGATTTCCCTCCCCTCCCCCGCCCCGGTCACTCAAAGGAGGAGGAGGGATGTTCATGGATAATTTATTGATCTTATCTAGCTCTTCTCTTTTTCTCTGTCCCGCCACACAATTTTGACACTGTTAGTACCTATTCCATTTCCTATCTTGCTCTCGACTTTTCATCTTCTTCTTTTTTTTTAATCTGATAACCTCTTTTCTAAATCTTAGTATTCTCCTACTGTTGAAGGTTTAACTTTGTAATTTTATTATTCAGCTCGGTCTTCAAAATCAGCTTGTGTATACCGAAGATTCAGCCTATTGGACTTCTTTGGAAAGAATGGATGAGATCCCCAGCTGGTGTAAACTAGTGTAGCTCTAGGGACTGTATTTTTTTCCAGCTGAGGATCTGGCCCAGTACACTTTGTATACTGGTTCATCCAGAGTTCCTTTATTGGTGTTGGAGGGGAAGTTCATTGTTTTACATAGGCAAGATAAAAGAGTAAAAGACAAGCATGGAGAATTATATAACATTTTATGAATGCCTCATGATAATGGGCCCAATCCTACTCCTCTTGAAATAAATGGGACACTTTACCACTGAATGAAATGAGCTCAGAAATGCACCAACAAATCTTTCCAGAGATTATAATACTTAATAGTTTGTGGGAGACAAAAGCTACTTGGCCAGGTTCTCACTCTTGTGTATATAATACATACGCACACGGAGGCACATATGAGAGTTAATGGGTTCAGTTTTTCTGAACAGGATATATAAATTTGTGAAAATTATCACATAATTGTTCTAAATCAATTTTATGCATTATTGGGGGTGGGAGGGAGAAAACCTAAATAGGACCAGATTCAAAATTGAAGAGGGTTATGCAATTGTTTTCTGAGACAATTTAGCACAACCAGATTGCCATTCTTTTAAAAATCCCCCTAGCTAATCCTCAGACAAAACCAATGTTGTGTCCTAATCTTCAATACAAGGATATGTTGCTATGACTAGTTCATACGCAATATGCCTCTAGTAATGCAGCAGATGTTTGCTTTTAGCTGTTTTGCTTTTATGTATGCACTTTGAGCAATAACAAACCAAAAATTTTAAATGTGCTCAAAAGAAAGAAACTTTTCAATAATTGTTTTAGCTATTGGATTTCATTACCAGTTCAAAGCATCAGGTATGCTCTTGCCTGTAGCTGTCTATAGGTTTCACATTTTAGAACAATTTTTTTTTTTGCTTTTCATTAGAGAAGTGGCAACATTATTTACTGGAAATTTTTATATCATTTAAAAAAAATCTAATGTGTAGTAATTTGAAAGAAGTAATTAATGTAATCTATGTAATTCTAAGTAGGGAAAATTTGCTTCAACAGTTTCAATTTCTTATCTTTTACCATGAAGTGCAGCAAAATAAAAGATTGTCCTGATATATTTTTAGAAGAACTGCTTAATGTTTTCTAACTATTTTCTGCCAGTGTCTAAGAAGTCATGTCAGAATCTTCTCATTGAACAAGTAATTCATAGTAAGAAAAGACTGACCTGGTTATCTTTATGTACTTGTATATCTAACTTTTACTTATGATAATGGAAGTATCTGTGCAGAAATGTTGCCACAGTCAGCTTCAAAAAAGTTCATAAAAGTTACTTTTATCATAGATATTGTCTAAGTGACTTTTTTCCCTTTTGCTTTGTTTTGTTAAGGTCACTTTTCACAGAAACTTATTTTGATGTCATTTTTAATTGTCTGTCTTGTCTCCCCAAATACTGTGGTTTCTGAACAGTTACCTGATGAGAAAAACATCTTTTAATCCTTTTGATTTTTATTTTCTCTTTCAGTTTATCCAAGGGTGATTGTAGGTAATTAAAAGTACTTAGGGGGCAACAATCCTTTAAAAACAGTACCTTATTCCCATTGTGATAGGCATAGCACCAGAAAGTTTGACTACTGGGTCACTTCAGACTGGGCAATAGGTATTTGGTGCTACTTTGGGCATTAGATTGCCATGATTTTTAAGCTCCAGGGGGACCATAATTCATTTATGAAATGCTTCGTATGAGTAAGTTTTTTTTTTTCCTCTTTTTTTTTTTTTAAAAAAAGAACCCCAAAATATAATTTAAATGTGTCCAGTGCTCATTACAAAACCCCATTGTCTTACAACAAGAAAATGTGTTTGAGCTCTAAAACTGAAATCAGTAGTTCATTACTAATGTGTAAACTTTAAGGGAGAGTTAGAAATTTGAATATAATCTGTTATTATGGGAGCCATCTAAGACACGTTAGACCCATTTTGTAATATCCTTTAAAAATACAGTTGAATTAAAAAAGTGTAAGGAACTTTAAAGAATACTGTACAATTATACCACAATGTAAAAGTATGTATAAACACGTTGGCAGTAAAGCTGTAGCATAATGTTGTGATTTTACTATGGAAAAGTTGATTGATAAGTTAGTATGAAGTAGAAACTTAGTAATAGCAGATATATCTTCATTGGGTGTCATTCTTCATCTGTCCAATAGTGACTTTGCATAGCAAGTCAAATGGGATCTTTTTCTTTGTGCCTTTTAACTATCCCAGTGAGCATCTGTATGCACATTTGTAATGGAAAACCTCCTGCTGAACATGCCAGCCCAAACAGTATCTACTAGAAGCCGTAATCTTGTTATTGGTGAATGTCCTCATGCCTAATGATTTTATAGATAACCCAATAAAAAATGTTGAAAATCAGAAAGGCTAATGGGAAGCAAGCTCTGGAAATTGTATCAATTTTCTTGGCTCGGTCAATGAATACCTTCCTCATTTCATCGTGGCTTTTTGGTGTAGCTTGAATGGGATTATTTGGCCCCTTTGGAGTCACTCCATCTTTTGCTTGCAGACATGGCCCCATTCCATAGGCTGTAAAACTGAATCGACTTTCCCTTACCTCATCATCCTGCAAGAAAAGTAAGAAAGTTCTTCAGTTACATAGATTTGTCACCTGCTGAAAACAAAGTTCTGAGTCCTCTCTTCAGTGGCTTCTTTAACCCATCACTTTATATTTGCTGGATGACATATTAGTCCTGTTGAAGTTAATGGCAAAACTCCCATTGATTTCAATGAGGGCGGGATTTCACCAGCTGGCATTTTTAAATACATAATCTATTCAACTTCCATTTTTTCTAATGATCTGTCATTAGAGTAAATTGATAATTTTATCTATTCTTTCCCATTTAGGGCCCAATTTCCTGGTCTTCAGCCAGGCAAAACTCACGTTGCTCTTTTGGTCATTTGTACTGTACATAATATCTAGAGGCCAGGTCCCCATTTTGCTATTATAGTACATATATAACATGTTGACATCAATTTAAATTAGTGGGAATTCTGCCTGTTTGAATACTATACATCTAATTAGTCTAATTTTTATACCTTATTTCTATAGTTACATATAGCTACATCAAATAAAAATAATAATTTTTTAAAATGAAGGTAAATTGTAGGTTAAATGTTATAAGTAGAGAAGGCTAAGGTACAGGGATCAGAACTAAGGACCATGCTCTTTGCAGTTTCTCCACTATACATCCAGAACAAATCCATTAATGTCAATGCAGTTATTCTGGATTTACTCATGTGTGCGTGAGAATTGAATTTGGTCCTAAATCACACTGACTGGAAAGAAGAATTATATACATACATGGGGGATATAGTACATGTCCAAAGAGGTGACTTTCATTTTGTGAGCACATTTTGCATCACTACTTACCCAGTTATGGGTACCAGGTAGGGAAAGATGCACAGGCTCAAATTTGATGCTGTAACTTATTCTGCAGGTGCAAATATAGATATACAAATTGTATGCAGGAACTGAGGCCAGGTTGAAAACTGACTGAAAGTATATCCCAAAGTCTTCTTTACCTTCAGACTATGTGTTTCTTCTTCAATATATAGCCTACCAAAGAGTAATCCAATTACTTTTGCGGAATTCACATTTGAATTAATTTTAAACTCTATTTCTTGTTCTTATCTGATCTTGTTTTAGTGCTCTATTACCATATGCTTTTAAGATCTCTGAAATGCAACAAAATAAAAAAAAAAGTATTCACGTCTTATTTCTCAAATAATTATGTAGTCCAGGAAAGCTGTTGCCTTAAAAGAATAGAAGAAAATAAAGTTACAAATTAGACTTTGGAAGAAGCTGGTTTTTTGTTTTTTTTTGTTTTGTCCTCCCCCTCCCCCATCCCATGAGAATTTTTGAGTTTTCAAAAAAAGCTCCTGTCCTGAATTAGGTTGAAATGGAAATCTTAATTTTTTTCATGAACCAAAAATAGAGAGAATCATATCAGATCAATTGAAATGTTTCATTTCAAAACATTTCATTTTGACTTAGACTTTTAAAATATTTTTTTCCTACAAACTAACTTCTAAACCAAAAGTCCTTCTGAACCAGAAAACCTGAAGTTTTTGTTTTGAAAATGTCAAAATGGATTGTCTTGAAAATTTCAAAGCTTGTTGCTCAATTTTTTTTCAAAATGAGAAGTTTGTCAAAACCATTCCTTTCTTGTGAACAGTTTTGATGTTGACAAATCAGCATATTCTGGAAAAAACAAAAACATTCAGTTAAATTGAAAAGTTTAGGCTGACAGTCACCTCCTGGGATTTTAAAATCTCAGCAATAGAATCTGCAGGTAGAGCTGTTTGTGAATTGATCCAGCCAGAGTCCTACAACACTGGTGTAAATGGTTGCCATTCCACTGAAATTTTTTTTTTAATTTATACTGTTGCAATCCTATAAACTTATTCACAGTTCTCTGTTTTAATAACACTTCTATACCGGCTTTATTGTAATTAGTAATGCACTCTAGTAAAGCAAAAAAAAAAAAGGAAAATTAACATGAAAGCAAGAAAACAGCAGTTGGTTAATAGAACATGGGCATGAATAACAGAAATATAAAATGATGGCAGGGTGCAAATGTTATGACGTGATTAAGCAAAACCATTTTAAACTAAGTAACCTGGTACCATTATTTCTGTTGTCTGAAAACCTGGGAAATAACAGCTTTGTTACTTTGTATACTTTTAATAGGTGAAATATGAAATGCTAAATTCATCTTGTGTGACTGTTGACTTCAGTGGGGTTACATGTAAGATGAATTTGGCCAATATATTTTTAAATGCCCAGAATCTGATGACTATGGGCCTAGTCAGCCCTCCATATACTTGCTACTGGATATAGGACTTACCACAGTGAGTAGTTCCATTGACCTAAAATAAGTGCTTGATTTCTTGAAGTAGTAAGGACTGTAGGATCAGGCTCTAAAATGGGACATAAGACTCTGTTTTATGTTACTAACTAAAATTAATCTTCTGAATGCTCCTTCAAAGATATTTGAGATCATTTTGTTATTTTCGGATAACGCTGATGGTTTCATAAAAAAAAAAATCCACCTATGTTGCTTTTCTTTGAAATATAATAGGGTTGCGTCCCTGACCATCTTGGCAAATATCCATTGATGGACCTATACTCCATGAACTTATCTAATTCTTTTTGAACCCAGTTTTTATATATAATTAAGTGGACCAGCTCCTCAGCTGGTGAAGCCACTCAGTGGGAGGTACACAGATGTACACCACCTAAAGATCTGGACCATAGAATATCCCATTCAAAAATGCACTGAATGTTGATTTGAAAAATTAAGTCTTCACTTTAGGATGTAACAAGGAAGCAAGCTTTCTTTTCTTTGCCTTTACCCGATTGTCTGGTGCATCATCTTTTTATGTAATTGATAAAGAAAAAAATGAATTAACACTTATTTGTAAAAGCCTTTGCTGAAGTTTTAATATAAACAAGAGATTTTCATGTATACTGCTTAACAAATTAATCGTTAAAAATGTTGATCAAAGTGCAGTTGCATATATTTTTATTAGTATACATATTTTACCAGCTCTTTAAAAATTATAGTAATTAACGAGTGCTCCTAGCTGTAGGTAAAGATTTTTGAAACACAACCAGAATTCTTAGAGTCTTGAAGGCAATGAGCTGGGTTGGTTTATTTGCATATCAATATCACTATATAAAATACCTAGGCATAAAATGATCAAAATATTTAAATTCCCTTGGGCTCGAGATGTTTTCTGTTTTGATATATGGTTTAAATAATTTACTCTTCCTCAGGAATAACAAACATACTTGCCGAAATATCTTCGCTATAATTTTTGGCTATAAGTAATACTAATCGTTTTAGGATGTATTTGTAACCTTTGAGTTATTTTTAACATTTTAATGTTTTACTCTCCACATTTTCTTGCAGAAAGCATTTGTAGTTGAAAGCTGAATCGGCTTTTTAAAATATGTATCCAACCAAGTTATTTCTCTTAGCTCTGATGTTAATTTTTAAGACTTCTTTGGAATAGCAGAATGTAAAATTTTAATTCCCTGTTTTAATTCCAGATGTACACAGGTCAGTATCGACTACAGAATTAACAAAACAGGTACCTTTTTAATAACACTTCACGTCATCACATACAGGTAATAATGAAGGTTAACGGAGTCCACATGGGGGAAAACATCAGTTCAGACAAAAGAACAGGGCCTTTGTTAATGACTGGGTATCACATTATAACAAATGGGACGACATCTATATAGTTTACCCTTAAATTTGTACTGTAGATTTGAGCCAAACTCCCGTCTATAGGTTCTGCACTTCTCAAGCCATTGCTACGTTGCAATGATTCATTGATTTCATTTCCATCAAGCACTCCCCCAAAATACTTTCATCAAAATGGGAGGGAAGACCAAAAAGGAAAAAGCAAAACAAAGGAAAAACAAAAAAGAAATGTGATTATCATTAAAAGGTATAATCAATCTAGTCTGTGCATTATTTTCGTTAATAAAGATACCATGATCTTTAGGTCTTTGAAAACAGAATAAAAAAGGTTGAATATTCCTGAAAAGTAAGTATATTGCATTAGAATTTAGTTTCGAAATAGAACTGAACTGAAATATCATCAAGAAAAATAAGCTCCATATCAACCAATTATATATGATGCTGCTAACTCCGCCTCTTCTGTTGTCTTTCTGCTCATTCAGGTGCTTTCAAAACAAAAGCTTTATAAATTAAGTGGTGTTTAATTCTTAAAAAAATGTTCAGATCAAATAAATTAAAGTTTATTGAAAATGATTTGTTGAAGGACAGATTTTGCACATCTGATTTGGGCAAAACAATCACTGACTACATAAGGACTATAGCAGCCATTCTCAGGTTCGGAACATAATGTTTATCTCCAATTTCAGGGACTGTGTTTTTTAATTCATGTAATACTTGGCCCAAAGGTGGCTAATGTTTTAAAAATATTTTATAATGGACAAAACAATTTCAGTCAGACACTAGGATGGGATGGAGTTAGAGAGTAAATCTTACCATTTCCATCCTCTCCACTGCATCAGTGATAGACCTGAACACCCTTTTGTCTGTTTCTATCACAAACATCTATGCTTTTCTTCATGCTTCTGTTTTATGCATGGAATGTTCTCTACGATTCTATCCATAAGGCCATTATCCACTCCTTCAAATCCATCCTCACAACCTACTTCTGCTATGATATCTATCAGGAAGGCAACAATGACTAGGATACATGGCAGGTTGGTTTAGATGCTTGAATGGAAGTAAGATTGGGCTATAAACACACACACACACACACACACACACACACACACACACACACACACAAAAGTCAACAGTAGTCTTTTTCTGTTCTTTCCCATGAGAGTTGGATTGGGCCTTCAAAAACAAAATCGCCTTTTAAATAATTTGGAACCAAAGGTAAGATCACACAGCTGCAATAATTATCTCCATTACAATTGTCTCCCTTCCTCCTTTTTGTTCATCACTCTCACTTGTTTCAGTTGGTCTCAAATTAGACTGTAAGGCCTTCAAGGAAAGGACTTCATTTTCATATATGTTTCCATGCAGGGGCTGGTTGTGACTGGGCCCTACCACTAGAGCTAGCTGATGATAAATGGAAAATATTTTTGTGAAAATTGTCATTAAAATTTTTTCATTAAAAACAAATTTTGAATTTTTCAACCAGTTCTAACCACCACAATGTAAATCATCACAGTAGTGTCCAGATTCTCTTTTGCCAAAACAATTTTTACATCTAGATTTTATTTTGAAAAATGTTGCAGACAGTTCTTAGAGTAAACTATAGATTTGTAGTATTAAAAAATTAAAACAGACAAAGCTTTGGGCCACATGCTTTCCCTACCCAGAAAAATCAAGTGGTGGCTAGAGAACTCTGATTCCACAAATGGAAAGTCATTTTGTTTGGGGGGGGGGGGCGGGTTCTGTACCCTATGGAAGTGGTAATGTTCCATCCTTGTAAGCCTGTCAGTGTCCCAAGATTGTAGATGGACAGGATTGTCTATATGGCTTTTTCATCCATAAACACCCTGCTTCTATAATCTACCTAGGGAAAAGAATAGAAGCTCTAAATTGTCACAAGAGAGAATTTAAAGTCAAGGAAGTCCCTTCAGGTTGTTTGAACACCTATCCTGGTATTTAATTTCTCTTCATTCTCCTGTTGATTTCCTGGTCAAATAAAGGTCACTGAAAAAGTTTTCTTCGTATGATGCATCTTAAAGAAAGAAGTCAAATAAAATCTAATCCCTGAGAATCAGTGATCGTTAACCTTTGCCAAATGAGTCAAAAAGGTACACAAAGCTTTATAATCACTGGCTAAAGTAGCTGAGTGGGAAAGTGATAGGGGAAACCAGCATAACAGTGTTAAAGTGCATTTATTAATTTACTAAATACAATTGCACATAAATTTCATGTTTAGACATTGTAATGAAACAATCATAATGTTTGTTCGAAAGAATGTTTAACTCTGTTTTAATCCAGAAGATTTCAATGGTTTTTGTTAGCAATGTTAGTGATCAATCAAATGTTTTCTCAACGAGCAATGTTCTTTGAGTAAATGTTTAAAGTTCTTTTTATAGCTGCCTGATAAGAAAGTGTTAAATAAGGCTGTAAGAGAAGGGATATTGACAGAGTTGTCTCCAGACCTGGAAGCCAGAACTAAGTCCAGAGATGGGTTTGGAATCGGATATAATCGCAATACCAATAGCATACTCTGCTCACCAGCCACAAAAAGCATCAATGTCAATTGCAAATAGAACTGCCTACCTTCCCTTATAGGAAAAAAAATGGACTTCAATAGAAAAAAAAAAAAAGGAAACAAATCCTGGGGATGGAAAAATGCAGTAAGCAGAGGTTAAAAAGGGGATGGGTAGATTTGTGGTTGTTTGTTTGTTTACACACCACTAAAATGAAACACAAATTCTTTAAAAAGCAAAAAAAGTAAACCCGAAAACACAACAAAAGGAAAAATGCACACACCAAGTGATTCTTAAAAAAAATAAACAAACAAACTAGAACCATCAAAGTAATATTTAGCAAAAGTGGTTAACATGTTTGCTTTTTTCAATCATTCACCTTTTCAAGTGTAACGATTAGAGTATGTACGAAATTTTCAGTTCAATGCATAGAACAAGGAAATCCAGGCATAGAGTAGCTAGAGAAATCAATGAATAAAATGTAGGAATATTTTTAAGAATAACTAAAATTAAAATGACAAAATACTTGAACTTTTTACTGTGGCATTGATTTTTCTCTGTAATTGCTCTGTATGTATGAATGCAATTAAATTGAATATTGTCATTTCATGTAAATTGCTGAAATAAGTTTGCCTGCCTCATCTAATGCTAAATATTTTAAAAGTTTGTTCATACTGGTGTCACTATACTCTTTGTCCTGTGCTGCCTTGGAATATGCGCACACATCTCTTACTAACTTAAATGTCAGTTTTGGCTGAATATCTTCTGGAATTTGGTCCTATATTGCATCCTCTGAGCCCACTTTGAGCTCACTGACACCAGTGTGTAGCAGAAGTAATTTCAAGGAGTTAGACTGGTGTAGGAGCAGTGTGAAAGCAAATCAGGCCCAGGAGGTGTTTGAGTTTCAGAGGCTTGTACCTGCAAGGCTCTGAGCATTGTGGTCTGATCCAGCAAAGCACAGATATCAATGAGACTATGCTTGTACTTTAAGTTTTGCACATGTTTAAGTGTTTTCTGGACCAGGCAAGAATGTTCAGCATCTTGTGAGTCCATCTCCAAGGCCTTCGAATTGGATTAACTGCTGAAGAGGTATACTGGGGGAAGCTGAAGTCTTGCTTAAAAAATTGGAGATGTAAATAAAGTTAGTTTGATTCTAGAGGAGGAAGGAAATATATTATTTCACCAGCCTGTGCCCTTGTGCTTAGAATACCCAATCTGTTTTTCACTCTGATTTTGATCATGTGGTGAAAAGACACTATTTGAAATCAATTAAGTAAAATTAGCATGCCTGACATCCATAGTAAACCTTGCTTTTACAATATTTGGAAAAGCTTCTACCTGTGGGAAGCAAGAGAAATGGACCAAAAAATCATCACATAATGGCTCATGCAATATAACTATTAATACTCCATGATGCCTTAATGTTTACCTGACCTGCACTCTTTCCAGTAATCCATCTCAAGCCCACCACTAACACTTCAAACCTTGAAACAGCTTTCAGAGAGCTGCCATTATTTCAAAAATAACCTGCCACAAAAATGCCTTTCCTCCTGTGTGGCTGGGGGAAGTGCACTTCCTGTTAGTCAGCACAACATACAATTTCACCCCACTTTCTTCCTCATGTTCAGTCAGGGCCAGATCCTGAAAGCCCTTGGTGGGCCTGAGCCTCAGTGGCAACCAGAGAAAGCCCAGTATTGGGCAGTGGTAGTTACCAGATTCTATGAAGGCATCTTCTTGGACATGAATTTGAGTTGCAGTCAAGGAGGGCATTAGCCACCCACAGTAGCACTTTCCACTCTGGCACCTGCAACCTGAATCCTGCCCTATTGCAGAGGGAGAGGGGGGGAGATACTGGAGAATAAGCCTGCTCCACCCTGCACCAACCCCACAGTGTCGGCTCCTCTCTTGGGGAGTTGCAATGCCACTCATATTTGGCCTGGCTGCCCCTCCGTCATGACAGTGGGTTTGACCAGGCCAAATTTAAGTGAGTGGTGGTGTGACCTGATGCATGGGTTTACAGCACCTCTCAGGTTTGGCTCCCTTGGTTTCATGATAGCTGTAGATACAGTTGAACCCATGGAACAAGGCTAAAGCTGTCCCTATATTTTATGTAACTATTTTCCAGAAACTGGGCCTCAGGTGAGTGAAGTTTTTGAAAATGCTGGACAAAGTGCATGGCCTTGGAACAAGCCATTGCAAGCTTTTTTTTTAATGTAAATGCCAATCCTTCCCTACAAAACCTTACCATTGTAGGGCTAGTTCTTGCACACAGGAATCTCCAGGCATGGTGTATTGTGTAAGAGTTATAATATGTTGGCAATATAAGGGGAATAAGCTGATAAATCACTTTTTGCTTGTGACCTAAATAATAATTTGAGCCCAGGTCTCCAGGAATGAAAGACTCTTGAGCTAATTGACATGCTCTCCTTTAATACAGTTTGAAATCTGATACACAGCAATATTCTACATAATGGCCTCATCCAACTCTTGTAAAAGCCAATTAAAGACTCTTACTGACTTCAATAGAAGATAGATCAGGTATCTGAAGAATGGCCGGGGGAAAAGTAATGTCTCCACCATATTCCCCTATTAAAAAAAAATCTGCGATGAGTAGTGGAAGTCTAACTCACGTAGTTGAGTACTGTGGCCCAAATCCTGGAAGTCTTTACTCAACATTTACTTTGTTAAGAGAGGGCTTACAGGATTTGACCTTTGGGCTAAATTGTGCCAACTCTACTCGTGATGGGTAGTAACATACTTCACAAGTAGTCCTAATAGATTCAACTGAGGGCATAGATCCTCTGCAGATCAGAGCTATGTTGAAGTCAATTGATAGTTGTATGACAATTTATACCACCTGAGGATGTGACCTCCACATGAGTAAAAGTGGCACAATCTGGTGCTCAAATACTATGATAAAGAAAAACAGACTTAGCTGAATTTAACAGAAAACATACTTTCCATCAGCAGCAAAACTCATAAAAGGTGAACTTTTATCAAAAACTGCATTTAGATCAGATATATCATTAGGGCTCAATAGAAGTCCTTAAGGCCAAATTAAGAAATGATATTTAATAAATCTCCATGCAGTATTGTGTGTGCCAGCAACATCCACAACCCTGGAGCACTTTGACAGTTCTTTACATGGTAAAATTCATCCCTGGACAGTGGGGCCTGCACATGGCCCACCCATACTTTAAATCCTCTTAATCCCTCTTTTGAGGAGTTAAGTAGGATTTGTGTGGTGTGTAGTCCTTGTACTGATCCACTGCCCAGGGTAAATGTCATCCTGTTACCATTTTATTTGCATAGCCACTTTAAGCAGTGCCCTCCTTCCTGACCAAAGCCCTTTTCTTTGTGCAAATCCATCTGTCTGTCTCAAAGATGTAGGTATTGCTAGGTTGCACTTTTTTTTACCTTGTTCTTCTTCCTCTTCCGGCGGAATCTCAGAAGCTCTTTATGCTGCCTTGACACAAAATTTACAGCTGCATACTCCAGAAGTGCAGAAAATACAAAGAGCAGGCATACTGCCATCCAAATGTCGATAGCTTTGACATATGAAACCTATGGAGAAAGAGACTGAAAATATTAGAAACACAGATGTGAATTTCAGCATCTCATAATACCAGGGGGAAATAAATTAGCCTCCCCATACCACCATGCTATTTTTACTAAAGAAGCACTAGCTTGAAAGCTGCTTTATTCCTCACAATTTAATTTTGTGGAAAAATATATTTCTTGCCTTTTTCTGAGAAAATCTTTGCACTAATGATTAGTACTTCATTAACATTTCTTCATGATCTGTTATACATTGCTTTTAACCAAAACCCTCATGATATAAAGGAAAAAGCAGAAAGATCATGACATTTTAAAATTTCTGGATGTATGGTCCATTTTCTGCTGACATCTGCTCAAGGAGCACAAAGGGGGTAGCATGTGGCTAAAACTGACCCGCAAGAAACTTCTCTGGCATAGGGGAACTCCCCACTAGCCTAAAGCTAATGAAGTTTAGCGGCTGTGCTGGAGAAAGAAGAGGTTGTAATAAAGCAGAACTCTGTGAAATTGAACATAAGAATGACCCTAGTGGGTCAGACCAAAGGTCCATCTAGCCTAGTATCCTGTCTTCCGACAGTGGCCAATGCCAGGTGCCCCAGAGGGAATAAACAGAACAGGTAATCATCAAGCGATCCATCCCCCGTCGCTCATTCCCAGCTTCTGGACACTGAGTCCATTCAAACAGCCCCTTTGCTGTAGTAACTCTTGCTAACACTGAGGAAGTGCACACTGGCCCTGTTCCCTGATGTGCTGCTCCTCTCCTGTGGAGCACAGTCACAAACACAATCTGACTTCGTAATCCAGGGCCTGCTCCTGATCTGACTGAAGCCAGTTAGGGTTCTGATGTTCAATCCTACCAGAATCAGACCCCAAATATGTGATTTAAAATGTATGGTTTTCTCAGATATAATAATAATTTGTTCTCTCTTTTTTCCCCCCATGTGTATGTAGTGTAACTATTTCCCCAGTTGTTGTAGCTTTTAGTTTTCTATCTCCTAAGTATCTATTATAGGGCTGTTATAATAACTGGGGCCTAGCTGGCCTACCTAGGGTTACAACCTGGCAGGTATTTGACCATCTTGGCTGGCTTGTTTAATGGATTTGTGAGTTGCCAGAAAAATAATTTAATCTGCCCATTTTTTTTAAGTGGGTCTAAAGATTGGCATTATCACAATACACTGGGATATCTAGTTTTGCGTACAGCTGACGATGCTGCAGTGTTCCTATTTCTGAAGTTTAAGTATGCTGTTCTCAATCTTATCTATATGTGTCAGCCAGTGTATTCTCTCTAGATACTATGTGACTGTTGTGTTGTTGAGGAGGGATTTTGGAGGTGCCTTGTGGTTGAAGGTTGGGATTGCGGCAGGCTTCCCTTTTTGGGCTGGGTGGGTGCTGGTTTCTTTGTATGTCAAAGGCGGCAACTCTAGGCCTACCCCATTTGTGAGCATAACTGTGGGAAAGTAAGAGTTTTTATAAAGTATTACTATAACTTCCAACAATAAATATAGATGGAGCAAGATGCAAAGAGGAGACAGACTGACCTAGTTCAAACAAAAAGGTCTACTAATATAACCCAAGGACAGTGTTAAGATCATGTAAACAAGAGAAATGTGGGTCTGGAAACCAATAAACCCAAATTGGTGTGTGGGAAATTAGGCCTATTGTTAGACGAAACAATGAGGATGGGCTGTTCCACCCATTATTCCCTTTTGGGATCCTTAAGAGAAGATTTTGGGTGGAAATTGAAGGTGGATGTTGGCTGACTGAAAGACAGAAGAATAGGAAGGAGTGAGCTTCACCATGATGGCTGCTACCCCCCTCCTTTTCCTGAAACCCTGGGATCCACTGTAATAGCATTGGTCCTTCACTGTCCTGATCCTGAGATCCTAACCAGACCGGGTCTGAGAGAGGGATCCAGATGACATTGCCATGTCCGCTAGCTATGGCTAAATTCCAAATACCATTTGGGATGTGAAACTTTGTTACACTTCCTCACAACTTTTGTGTCTTTTCCTTCCCTACCTTATTTTCTGTCTTTCATATCATCCCTTTGCCTTCTGTTTAATAAGAGTCTGGTTTAGCTTGCCAAAGCTGCATATTTTGCAACACTGCTCTGAGCCTGTGACCAAAGAAACACTTAAAAACAATGCCTCAAATAGCCTGATGCTGGTACAAGTTTGCCAGGTATCAGAGTGGCTAATAAGATTGTGTGCCATGCCTGTGTTTCTCCAGAAAAGAAGTTGCGAGCGAGAGTCAACACCAAAAGCAGAAGCTGCATTTTCTATCATTACTGTTTGTTTTTTCTCTCCACTCTTGTGTGTTTATCTTGTTATGTCTTCTAGAAGACTGGATTGGACTTTAACAACAACTCTAGCCCGTCTCCACTTTTCCTCCCCCCCCACCCCCAAAAAAAGAAGAGTTATCACCACATTTAATACCATCTAAAAGACTCTAGGTTTGCAATTTAGTTGTAGCTGTGCTGTTCCCTGGAGATAAGAGAGACAAGGCAGGTGAAATAATATCTTTTGTTGGATGAATTTCTGTTGATGAAAGAGATAAGCTTTTGAGCTTAAAACAGTCTAAAAGACTGTCAGACAGGGTTTATTTTCCATTTATAGATTCTCTACAGTGAAAGGGAACAAGTATTCCTTATATAGTTTACATTTTAAATGCTTTCACTTTTTTTTCCCTTTCTTTTTGTATCTTTATTAAAAATCTTTTAAACCTTTTATTAGTGTTTGCCATGGTACTTAACTGGCTGAGGTCTCTATCAAACCCCAAACCTTTGGTGAAAACTGTTTAATATGGACAGTAGAGGGTCATGTTCACAGCTTTGGCTCTTTGGGCCCATATATTCCATTAAACTTAATACAGCAGGGCCCTACACTTTGGGACACTAAGCTCTCTCTGCAACCAAAGGCATATTTATTTTGATCAGAGGAAAAAAAGGACAGGCTTCAACAACCAGGAGAATAACATTTACACAAAAACAAGAGGGGTAACATCAAATATATTACATTATTCCCATTAACTTCAGTGGGAGTTCAGGTTGATTAGTTTGTCCTGTAAAAGAAAACTTTTAAGTAATGACACTTAGGCAATTTAAAAATGGACAATATAAATCTGTCTGGGGATTTCAGCCATGCTGATGACAGACACCTTTGTAAAACACTTTGGGCTAGATTGTCACCCTTACTCAGCCAGGCAGTCAGATTGTGGCTCTGGTGGTGATACTTGTGCAATACTCCTCACTGTAAGAGGATGGTGAAGGGGTGGTCTGAGGATGAGCCCTGGATCCATGAGAATAGCTGACCAGATGCACCTATTTCTCTTTTCATGGAGGAGCTTACTAACTCACTGTGCCCCCAGAACCAGGGTGGGGAGCTGGAAAGAGATTGGTATTCTGTAAGTCATAATTTTTTATTTGATCTCTCTGTGGGAGAGTACAGCTTCCCTTTTACTCACAGCAGACTGTGAAGCTGCAATCGTCTCAATATTTGCTCAATACATTGGCTTATATTGCAACCAGGAAAGGGACAAACTCATCTCAGACCAACACATAAAAGTCTGAGCAACACTAGTGGAGTGAATAACACTTTCTTCAAGGTTCAAAATCTGTACCATTGAAGTCAATGTAGTTAAGCCAGTTGAGAATTTGGCCCAACAGATCAGTTGGTAAAGAAGTAGAATGTGTTCTGTTGAATGAAAAATTAAAAAAAACAAACAAAAAAAACCCCAGATCAAAGTGGTTTATCTCCCTTCTGTTCATCCTTAATGAACTAATGTATCTCTTAAGAAGAACAACACATATTGTAAAGGTTATTGAAGGCCTCTGACAGCCATATAGAATCATCATTTGTACTAACACAGTGATTCTGGTATAATACAAGCAAAGCAGCTTTTTGCCTACCTTTGGAAGTGATGCTCGTGAACCTGAACTTTGTGTTGTCATGGTCAGTACAGTTGTTATACCTAAAGCCACTCTGGCTGGTGCTGCATCCATATTGATCCAAAACGACACCCAGGAGAGAATGACAATCAGGAGACTCGGTATGTACATTTGGATGAGATAGTAACCCATTTGCCTTTCAAGATGGAATCGGACTTCAATGCATGTAAACTTTCCTAGTTGTAACCCAAAAAAAAAAGTTTCATGAAAATAGGAAAGCTATTTTTGTCACTAACACACACTCTAAATAAAACATTATATGAGCAGTTCAACTAACTTGTCTTCTAGTGGCGTTACAATTGTTTTGATTGATCTTTCAGCATACATAAATTTCCCCATCACCATCGGAAAATCTTTTTGGAGACAGAGAAACTGAACTTCCAAAAAGTTTCTCTGCTTTTAGAATTCAGTAAGCTGCTTTAAAGTTGTGCTTCTTTTGAAAGTAAGGATCACACTAACCATAATGGTCATAATGAGCAACAGGTCATTTTCCAACCTTTGCCATCTGAGTTGCTATTTGGAGAGAGTGCCATCTGCAGAGGGATGTTGTGTTCTCCTGTGCCATCAAACTTGCCATCCCATGGCTCAGTTTTAAGTTAAATTTTATTTCTCAAACATAACCTAAAAGCGAAAACTGGGGGATGAGGATGGCCTCGGGTTAATAATTAGAGTTGTTGACAAGTTATGTATGCCTTAGCCCCCTTCCAAAATGTTCTAACTTGAAAACCTAGTTACCAAGGTTTTCAAAATGGAGCTTCTAATTTGGACGTTAGGAACCTGAATAAGTGGCTTTTTCTCCCCAAAGTGCTGAGAACCCAGCAGTTCCCACTGACTTGATTAAAAGTGAGAAGGAAATATATTCACCCGTGGAAGTAGAATATCACTGTTGCCACCAAAAAAACCCCAAACAAAACAGTGCTAATGCTAATGCTCCTATGCCAGAATTTGTCACTGTTCCTGACCTTGTGGTGTTCTCCTTTTGTAATTCCCTTTGTTTCTACTAAATATTAGCATTTGAAGGCAATATTACTGATATATTTATTGACAGCAGAAATTATATTTCACAATGGATCTCTGTGATTATTTGAATGAATGCATTTTAATCATTCTGGATTTTGGATGGATGCATTTATATTAATATTATTTAAAAGGTGTGCAGTTATTCCAGAAGATGTTGATTTTGCAATAAGTTATACCAATTATTTTTTCTGACCCACTTTTACCCACGGGTTTATACAAAATCCCATGCTTATTATCACATTAATGTATCATCCTGTATTATCTTTGTACTGAAACAGTGTTATTTGAGAAATCAATTTCCAAGCTGAGTTAAAATTTCTTACATACTCCACTTCTGGACAAATTAAATGGCTGGTAAAGTGTATCATTTATTTTTCCTTAAGGTAGCTTTGTTATAAAGCCATTAATCTTGTCTGTAGATTTTTGTAGTAAATTTAATGGAGAGTAATCCTTATTTCTGTGAAGTAACACAAGTGTCTAGATTTAAGTAAGACTATGGTGATGGAACCCAACTGTCCAATGCAAAAATCCTATTTTAAAACTAGAGAAAATAATCTTAAGGAGTTTTATAGCTACCAACTCAAACATTCGCTTCACTCATAATCTCTGTCTGCGACTTCTAAAGAGAATTCTCTAGTACTGCTGATTTCTCTAGCAGCCCAATCCTACCATAAAACCCTGGCACATGCCTTGCGTTGCTTCAACTTTTTCAACTGCCCCTTCTTTGGCCTCTCTGATCCACTGGTGAAATCCTGGCCGACTGAAGTAAATGGGGAATCTTGCCATTGACTTCAGTGGGGTCAAGATTTCACCCCACATCTCTCCCTCCAGTCTATTCAAAATGCTGCAGATAAAGTCATCTCTCTTAGCAGTTTCACCTTTCCATCCGCATACTTGAATATCTGCACTGGCTCTAAACTTTTGCATCCTTGTATTGAAGGTTCTGCACAACTATGCTTGTGACCTTTACTCTGAGAACTTAATACTCCTTAACAGTCCCCTGGTCTCTTTCTCCAATCAGCAATCCCATGCTTTTTCCTCAGATGGTCCTCTTTGGATAAAAAACCCACCCAGCTTTCATATGCCATACAACCTCATTTTCCTTTTTCCTCTCAACTCCCTTCTTTTGTCTCCATTTTCCAATCTTGACCTAGGTATCTCATTTCTCATTAAAAGATGAGTAGGGGCTAAGGATGCTCTGTGTGCGAAGATAGCCCTGCCTCTCTGGCCCTGCCAATCACGATTGGTAAGGAGGAGGGCTGCAAAAAGAGGAAGCTGTAGTCAGCAAGGGGGAAACCCTGAGAAGGGAGTGATTCTTGCACCAGCCGGAGGAGGAACCTCTATGTCAGACGGACCCCCAAAAACTCCAAGGAGTCCAATGAACCCCAGAACCAAGCCCAGTAGGGAGAGACTGGTGTGGTTACCTGGGTGTTAAGGGCTCCAGTAAATTTGCTTCCCAAACACCCTGAAGTAAGGTCAGAGCCACTGACCTTTTTGTTGACCATAGGAGGAACTTGTTCTCTGCATTTTTGCTTTCCCCCACAAAGTAAGCAGGCCTGCAAGGATGGGGCACATTACAAGGACAAAGGGGCTGGGGCCTGGACCTTGCTAAACCTATGTGGGTCAGGAAGTGTAGGGATAAAGTGAGAACTGCCAAAAGCCGAGCAGAATTGACCCTTGCAAAGGGAATTAAAACCAATAGGAAAAGGTTCTATAGCCATATAAGTAAGAGAGAATCAAGGAAAGAAGAAGTTGGACTGCTAAACGCTGAGGATGGGGTGGAGATTAAAGATAATCTAGGCATGACCCAACACCTAAACAAATACTTTACCTCAGTTTTTAATAAGGTTAATGAAGAGCTTAGGGATAGTAGCACAGTGGCTAATGGTAACAAGGATATGGAGGTAGAAATTACCACATCTGAGGTGGAAATCAAACTCCAAACAATTTAATGGGACTACATCGGGGGGGGGGGGGGAGATAATTTCCATCCAAGATTCTTAAATGAATTTGAACACAAATTGAAAGCCCAATAGCAAGGATTTTTAATGAAATCTGTAAACTTAGAGATCATACCCCATGACTGGAGAATTGCTAATATAATTCATATTTTTAAGACGAGGTAGGGGTGGGGGGAGTGATCTGGGAAATGACAGGTGTGTTAGTTTGACCTCAGTTGTTGTATTAAAGGTTTTGGACAAATTTTAAAAAAGAAAGTAGTTGAGGACATAAAGGTGAACAGTAATTGGGATAAAATACAACATGGTTTTACAAAGTGTAGATCATGCCAGACCAACCTGATCTCCTTCTTTGAGAAGATAACTGACTTTTTAGACAAAGGAAATGCAGTAGATCTAATCTACCTGGATTTCAGTAAGGCATTTGATGATTTCCCTTTTGGAACTATATCCGTTAAATTGGAGAAGATGGGGATTAACATGAGAATTGAAAGATAGATAAGGAACTGGCTAAAGGGGAGACTACAATGGGTAATACTGACAGGTGAACTGTCAGGTTGGAGGGAGGTTACTAGTGGAGCTCCTCGGGGATCAGGTTTGGAACCAATTTTATTTAACATTTTTAAATGGCACAAAAAGTGGGAGTGTGCTAATAAAAATTGTGGACGACAGAAAGTTGGGAGGTATTGCCAATATAGAGGAGGACTGGAATATCGTACAAGAAGATCTGGATGATCTTGTAAACTGGAGTAATAGAAATTGAATAGTGCAAAGTGCAAGGTCATGCACTTAAGGACTAATAACAAGAATTTCTTCCTATAAACTGGGAACAAATCAGTTGGAAGTGACAGGAGGAGGGGACGACCTGGGTGTACTGGATGATCACCGGATGACTATGAGCCACCAATGAGATGCAGCTGTGAAAAAGGCTAATGCAGTCCTAGGATGCACCAGGTGAGATATTTCCTACAGAGACTGGAATGTGTTACTACCATTATACAAGGCATTGGTGAGAATACTGTGTGGAGTTCAGGTCTCCCATGTTTAAGAAATATGAATTCAAACTGGTAGAGGTGCAGAGAAGGGCTACTAAGATGATCTGTGGAATGGAAAACCTACCTTATAAGAGGAGACTCAAAGAGCTTGACTTATTTAGCCTAACCAAAAGAAGGCTAACAGGAGACATGATTGCCCCCTTTTAAATACATCAGAGGGATAAATACCAGGAAGGGAGAGGAGTCATTTAAGTTAAGCAGCAATGTTAAGTTAAGACACACAAACCCTTGGGGGGGAGGGTGTGATTCACCTTCCTCTGCAGCATGGGGCACGGGTCACTTGCAGGTTTAAACTTGTGTAAATGGTGGATTCGCTGTAACTTGAAGTCTTAAAATCATGATTTGAGGACTTCAGTAACTCAGGCAGAAGTGAGGGGTCTACTACAGTAATGGGTGGGTGAGGTTCTGTGGCCTGCACTGTGCAGGAGGTCAGACTAGATGATTATGATGGCCCCTTCTGACCTGAAAGTCTGAGTCTATGCATTGCTTGTTGCAGGGGGGCCCAACCCATGTAGGGTGGTGCCCCAGAGACACTTCTTTACGGGGAGGTTAAGTGGGGGTGGAATGCTGAATTTACAAGCACAGCAGAGGCAATAACTGCTGCTGTCATGGAATACTGTGTGTGTGCAGACAGTGGTGCTCTGCATCTTCTCAGATGTATGCATGCTTCTGCCGTAATATCACCACTGGTACTGACATGGAGAGGCAGGATTTCACTGTTATCAGCATCAGTGCTGGGATTCCCTGGTTGGAGCCCGTGTGTATATTGAGAGAATGAGGCCATGCAGGCCAACCACTGTGAAACTAGCATGGAATGTTAATATTAGTAATGTTTGTTTCCTGAATGCTGTCAGTGTAATGACTCACACATGCTAATGGCTATCAGGGTGATGGCAGTCTGAGGGGCTTTTGTGGTAGTACCATGATTGCAGGCACTTACCAAAAAAAAAACCCACCACCAAAAAACCGCAGCTGGTAAAGAAAGGGTATTGAGACTAAGTGACTAATTATGCTCAGGGGGCGGGGAATATGAAACCGAACGGAACTAGGAGGAAGACACTTCTATTGGCTATTGATATTGCAGTCAAGAGTTAACTGTTTGTTTGTTAAGGACATTTACACAAATAGGTACTTCCACAGAAA